GCAAATTCCCATTCTTCAAAAATATCTAAATTAAATGGGCTTATTCCAGTTTTCTTAAACGAATTAATTGCATTTGAGGGTGTTGCAGATTTTAAATATGCGTTATTAAATAAACTTGTCACTTGGAAATGACTAACAGCTCGACCAGGATTCTCTCTTAACCACTGACTTATTTCAGTGTTATAATATGTTTGTAAAGGCGCAAAAAACCCTACATCCAATGGCTGGACTCGATGAGAGCAATGTGCAGGAAGACAAAATAAAACAATACCTTTAGACTTGGTGTATTCCAATACATCTAAGCCTTTATGGCTGCTGTGTCCATCCAAAATCAAAAGTACTTTTTTTTCGACCGACGGTTTAACATGATCAACAAAATGTTCCAACCACTTCAAAAAAGTTTGAGAATCCATCCATCCATTTTCCTGACAAAATGCAACGCTTCTTAGAGGTGCACTGTTCATCAACTCAATCTTGAACTGTTTTCTAGGAAAAATAAATGCAGGTGGAACAAACGAACCTATTGCATTCATACAACATACCGCAGTATAATGGTGACCGCGTTCGGCACTGCTGAGGATTCCCACTTGTTTCCTCCCTTTTGTTGCTAAAATTTTTCTGGTTTTTGTTGGGACAGTACTCATTCCGGTTTCGTCAACGTTAAAAATGTTTTTTGCAGTAAAATTATGTTTAGTTATAACCTCGTGAAGTGAATTAAAATAGTTTTTTATATTTTCTTTGTTAAAGGCTTGCGCTCGAGCCAAAGAAGTGTGTTCTGGGGTTCTAACCGATATGGTTTTATTTCTTTTTAAGAAACCCATTAACCACTTACGTCCTGCCATTCCTTTTTCTTTATTAAAACGATGATCCAATTTAAATTTTTCCGCAATTTCAAATACAAGCTTTCGTAACTCCCAGCTACTTAGTCCAAAAAATCTCGTTTCAAGATTTACAATATGATCTCTTATTTCTTTTTCCATATTGGTATTAAATGTTGGCTTCCGTCCTCCAAGCCCCTCCTTTTTAAAACCCTTGTTATTTTTTAATCTTCTTCTTAATGTGGACCTTGGGACATTATACGTTTTTGAAGCCGTTGAATATCCCATAAGATTATTTTCTATGGCCTTAAGGGCCAAATCCATATTTTTTTCTTCCCAGAGCAGTCTTTTATTCTATAAAAAAATAATATCTATTAGTTTATTTTTTAATTAAAAAGTAACTAAAAAATATTATTTTTTTTATGTTATTATTAAAATTTTTATTTTTTAGGTCTGATTTTTTATTAAAAAAAATGCATAATATTAATTTTAACCAACAAAAACCTAGACAGAATTTGCAGTATTTACTTTAATGCTGATATTTTATTTAAAAAATGCATAATATTAATTTTAACTAACAATAACCCAGACAGAAATAGCCGGAAATAGCAGAATTGACTTTAAATGTAATCTGTACCAATGATGGCCCCTGTTTCATCATTGGAATAATCATAAAGGGCCATCAAAGGCAAAACCACATGTAACTTTGATAAAATTATATCCTTAAAAAAGCAACCTAACCTTAAAATTAATATTTTATGTAAACTTTAAATACCAATACATAACTACGATTAAGTTTCATCCTAATATGTTATTTCATTTCCTTACAATTTACATATAAAATAGTTTAAAAATTACATCAGCACTTACCTGATTCATTTTTATTTTTTATTTGCCGAACAAAGTTACACGAGGTCTTGAAACTTTATAGGTAAACTGGTCATGCGCTAACAATGTCAAATATATCTGTAATTCCGCAACCCTTAATACGCTGTTTATGATATAGGCAACTGGCCATCATAGGAACAGGGCCGTGTTAGGCCACTTTCCGTGGTAAAAAAAAATAAAAGTGAAAACGACTATTTTATTAGTAAAAAATGCTGGTACTAATTTAAATAGTAGAATTTTGACTATTTCATTTTTAGAGAGTATACCTATGAAAATACAAAATGTAATACTTGTTTAAATATTTATAATAATAAATAAATTCAACTAAAACCTATGAGCATAGATCTAAAGGTTCGAAAATAGACAATGCCTTAGTTAGTTACGAGCTACCGCGATTTAACCATGCAGCGCGATAAATAAAAAATCATAACTTTTCCATATGCACGTATATGCAGCCAATTTTTTGTGTGCATATAAAGTAAAGTTTACTGAACAACCTGAATCGAAGTTTATCCTAGTTAAATGCCTATATGAAGTTTTTTTCTTAATTTTATCAATGATTTTTTAAAAGGTTATAACTTTTAATTTTTAAATAATTTTCTAATAAAATGGGAATTTTTATATAGATTAAGGTGTGCTTTAAACATATATAAAAAATAAATATATCTTTTTGTCAGATTAAAAAATATGGTTTATTAAATATGTGCGTAATTTTTAGCCAATTTTACTGTTTTAAAACGTTCTACTTTGAGGTGTCATAAAATCAAAACAGAATTATTCAAAAAAAATTTATTTCCGAATTCTATTGGTTTGAGATGTTTTTAAGAAATTGTCGTCATAAAAGTTCCAAAAATAAAAAGTTTTTAAAAATGTATTTTTGCAGCCACCTCCAGTGCAAGTGTCAAATTTCGTGAGTTCACCGATTCAATCCAATAGAACTTTTTTCCTACCGACATGATCATTATGAAACTTCGCGTATCATTGCAATCCTATCATTACCAAGAATTATTTCGGAGGAGAAAAGAGTAACAATCCACGTGCTGCCATAAGAACCCGTGTATTTTAACTTTTTCAAACTTTGAAATGTATTTACTCGGCTCCCAACGACAAGAATTTTTATTTAATTAAACAGGATGATGTGAAGCATCATAAAGAATTTATTTGTAAATTTTTATCAAATTCTGATCATTCGACACTCACTCCAGGACAACCTTAAATCGTTTATTGTTAAAACAAGCTAACTTACTTTTAGCATTATTTCATATTTGCATGTTTCATTTTGAGTAAATCGTCGGACGAAAAATGTTAAAGTGGCATCGCTGCATTGCAATGGACTAATTCGCCCCGCCTACAATGGATCGCAGAACATAAGCTTGCGCAAAGCACCCAGCTGATAAAAGAACCTTGCTCCATCGACAGGTCGCGGGGTGCTTTGCGCAAGCTTATGTTCTGCGATCGCACCCCTGCGACAATTGTAGACCCGGCTTAATAACTAAGAACTTTAGTCATTACGCATAATTCCTAAACAGTTTATTATTAACTAAGCAGTTTAGGCTTAACTGCTTAGTTAATAATAATATAACTTATTATGCATGCATAATGAATGTTTTCGAATATTGGCAGTAACATATACGAGGTGTGTTTAGAAAATATCGGGAATTTTCGTTTTTTGAAACAAATATTTATTTATTCGTCTACATTAATGTTGTCGCCTTCAAAATAGTCCCCATTGGATATTATGCACATGTGCCAGCTCTTCTTCCAATACTCGAAACACTTCTAAAACTCGATCTTTGGGATAGCCTTTAGTTCTTTTAGCGATGCGCTTTTAATGTCATCTATGCTTGCAAAACGACGGCCCTTTAAGGTTCTCTTTATTTTTGGGAATAGGAAAAAGTCAGACAGAGGCATGTCTGGCGAATATGGAGGCTGGGGCATCATTACAGTATTATTGGCCAAAAATTTTAAAATTTTAAAACAAATTTTGCTGCCACGCGTTTCATACCCAAAACATTCGAAAAAATTTCATGGGATGAGCCAATCGATATACCAACATCATCAGCGACTTAAACTGATGGTTTATAACCATTTCTTCCACTTTTTCCATGTTTTTATCGGTTGTTAATGTGCTTGTGCGTTCGGGGCGTTCGTCATCTTCAACGTCTTCACGGCCATCTTGGAAACTCTTATACCACTGTAAACTCTTGTTTTACTTATAGCAGACTCACTATAGGCCTTTGTTAACATTTCACAGAATTTATTTCAAATTCTTTGAAAAATCGCCGAGCTCATAAAACACGTCTAACCTTAGCGGCTGCTACAGACAAAGTAAACAATGAAAACAGCTAAAGTTTTTATCATACTTCGGAGGCATGTATACCAACATAATAAAGAAAATTTTATGACAACCGGACCCTCCGAACCCGCGAAATTTAACAATTCCCGTTATTTTCTGAACACACCTCGTATACCCACTCTTTGGTTACAATTCAAGTAATATTTGTATCATCGATAAAATATTAATTTAAACAAAAATTATTCCTAAAATATAATTTATTAACTAAATTAGAGTGATTTAAAATTTCAGACATACCCGACAGTTTTGCCATGTGACTAAAAAGTTTTTTACATACGGCCATTACAAGGTGACCTTGACTTTTTGGCTTAAATTGTTTGTTACGGTTTGACCGCTAGATATTGCGAACAAAGGTACTTACCTATAATTAAAACAATTTTTACTAGTTCTTTTTATCTGCTTTATTGGTTTTATACTATTTCTACTATCTAAATAGTGCCCCATAATTTATTAAACTTTTACGAATGAATATATATAAAAAATAATTTTATACTTTTAACAATATCATTTATACATTTAAGGACTTTGCATAAAGATGGTGATAATAAAAACGTTCTTTATTATATGTTTCTTAAAATCAGCAGTAATAGCTAAACATAAGGTAAACGTTTTATTAAATTTATTTAGTTTTTAGATTTGTTCATAGATTTAAATATTCATTTTATAATTAATTATAATTTAACAAATTATATCAGCATATTTTATTAAGTGGATAATAAATAAATATTATAACTTATTTTAGAATAGAGTTAGTTCGACTGACCCCGTAGTTACAATGGAAGATGGAAAAATATTGGGCAAAAATGAAAAAACACCTTCAAATCAAACTTACCATTCATTTGAGGGTATTCCTTTTGCCAAACCGCCATTGGGAATACTAAGATTTAAGGTTTTTTATAAATACTTATTTAAATATTAATCTAAAAATAAACTTTAAGCCACCTCAACCAAATGAAAAATGGAATGGAACCCTTTTGGCAAAAACAAATAAAAGTAGCTGTATACAATATAATGACGATGGATCTGAGGATTGTTTATATCTAAACATTTATACTCCCAATCTAACTCAAAATTTGCCTGTTATGGTTTGGATATATGGTGGAGCTTTTGTTAGTGGTGATGGTTCAAAAGAACTTTATAATCCTGAGTATTTATTAGAAGAAGATGTTGTTGTTGTTAATATAAATTATCGTCTGGGAATTTTTGGGTTTTTAAGCACCGGTGATATGGCTGCACCAGGTAATACCGGTTTGAAGGATCAAATATTGGCCTTGAAATGGGTGCAAAAAAATATTGCACATTTTGGTGGAAATCCCAAAAGTGTTACAATTTTTGGAGAAAGTGCCGGAGCTGCTTCAGTATCATATTTGGTACAAAGTGATTTAACCAAGGGGTTATATCATCGAGCTATTATACAAAGTGGAACAACTTTATGTCTTTGGAGTTTAACTAGATATGCAAGAAAACTAGCATTTGATGTTGGAAAAAATCTCAATATATATACTTCTAATTCATCAAACTTGGTGAATGAATTAAAAAGAGTTAAAGCATCTGATCTTCATTTTAAAACAAAGTTTATTTATAATTTGGTAATAATAATAATTTCCATAAATTCAAACTTTTAAATATTAAAAATATTTATATCCAGAATGTTGGCAAAATAAACATACGAAATGGATTACCTATTGGACCGGTAATGGAACCTAATCAAGAAGGGGCTGTTTTTTCTGGAAAAAGTTATGAGATGCTCTCCAAGGGTATTTTTAATCGTGTCCCCTTAATGATTGGACATACTTCGCAAGAAGCTCTTGCAGCTGGAAATCTTCCAAGTAATAACAAATATCTGCATATATACATAATTTTAATTAATACTTGTTTTAGTACTTGTTAAATTGTTGCTTGGGCATTTTACTTTAAATAGAGAAAACTTTACACTCATTGATATGAATATAAAAAACCGAATTAAATCTTTATTTGTTGGAGAAACAATTAAATATTATTATTTTGGATTTAATTCAGTAGTGCAGAATTCTCATAGTCTTACTCAGGTATATTTATGATAGTTTTATAAATTAATAAAGTAATTTGAATTATAGTTCATTAGTGATGACCAATTTAACCGACCTATATCGAAATCTGTGAGACTCCAGTCTCAGTATGTTCCAGTTTATTACTACGTATTTTCTTATGAGGGAAAATTGGGACAAATTTATGATGGAAACCTGCCAGGTTAAAATTATCATTTAATGTTTTTATATAAAATTATTATTAATTTTTACAATGTAGGTGTTGGTCATGCTGAAGAACTACAATATATTTTTAAGACAAAAAATGTGAATATTTCACAATCGGATATGTTGACAATAAAACGAACTGTCAAACTATGGACAAACTTTGCTAAATATGGGTAAGTTTTTAAAATATGTGTAATTAACTTTTTTAAGCATTAAAGCTTTTAATAATTGTATTGAAATGTTTGAGGTTGTTGTTGAAACATATTATTTTATAGGAATCCCACACCAAGTAAAGATGTTTTATTTGATAATGAAATTTGGATTCCAAATTTTAAAAATAGCTCTAAAAATCTTAGTTATTATAATATTAACAAAAATTTATCCAATGGTATTAATCCCAATGGAGCAAACCTACAATTTTTTCAAAATCTTTATGAACAATTTGGAAATCCTCCTTATGATACTTATTAATTTTTAGAATATTAAAGTAATTTTGAACTCAATTTAAAACATGCAACTGAAAACATCCAAACAGATTTGACATTTTAATGAACTGCTATTGTTTGATCCTTTTGTATAAGAATATTAATGTTTAAGTTGTTGTTTATCTTTCATAAATTTTATAAAAATATTGTGTATTGTGTGTAAGGTTTTTAATTATAATAAATAATAATAAAAAGTTTTACTTATTTTATTTTGAGTAAATCGTCGGACAAAAATGTTATAGATTTAGTGCAAATGTAATAGAACATTTTTCTAGATCTGGTAAAGTTGACACTGCCCATAAATATACGCTACAACTAGAAATAAAATGAAATAATTAATTAATTGATGATTAATAATTATTATAATCTGTTTCTAATTGACTTAAATTAATGACTTAAAATGTATTATGATATTAAAGAAAATTAAAAACAAATTGATTACAAAATTCAACCGTATTTTTAATAACTATTAAGTCTTCTCAAAAATTGTATTCACTCTACTACCTACACACTTAAATACAACTTAAATACAACTACTGTCCATAAATAGTTACTCTCCAGTATCTGCAGTGATGCCAACTCGTTCCCATTTTGAGGGAAATTTTACCTCAAATTGAGACAAATGGGAAAAAGGGAAATATTTTTAAAAAAGGCCTTCCATGAGGGAAATTTATATCAATTCAAAATGAAAATTTATAATTAACCCTTTCCTACTTTTTCTAATCAAATAGGTAATTCGGATTTTTTTATATTTTATGACTTTTTTTCGTATTTCATACAAAAAATATATATAACTTTTAATGTAACAAAACTTTATTTGGATTTACATAATAAAAATATGTTTTTTTTAAAGATAAAAACAATAGGCTGTATTTATAAAAGAAAGGATATGCTTATACTTGCAAAATATGAACGAAATCCTTCAGCTTTTATATATATATAATCATTAATACAAGCTTAAGGATTTCCTTCATATATTACAAATATAAGCATAAGGATATATCCTTTTTTATCAATATGTCAAATTGTTTTATAATTTTATTTTACATATATTTTTGTATTTATACACGTTGTTTTTTATGGGTTTACTAATAAATACTGTTGCAAAATTTTTAAAATGCTGTTTTTTTTGCAAAATAATATCTCATATATATATATTGAAAAACTGGTAACAGCATATCGATGACTTTTTGCCCAAGTATCGCAAGTAACATAACCCAAATTTCGGAAATTGAAAACATTTTGCTTGTCTGTTTTAAATTAAATATAGCCTTAAGGTTTTATAATAAGTAATTACTTAGCTTATAATTATAGCTATTTACTTGTAATAAAACCTGTAGGTTATATTTGGTTTAAAACAGACTTTAAAACAAAATTGTTTTCAAAAATTTGAGTAATGTTGCTTGCGATACTTTGGCAGGAAGTCATCGATATTTCAAAAAGCGTGGGAAAAAAGGGAATTTTTGAACATTTTCGAGGGAAATTTGTTGCAAAAGGGTTGGCAACACTGAGTATCTGTCATTCTAAGCGAGTATATCCATGTACCGACTTTACTTCCGCCTTAAAATTTTTTTTATAAAGGCCAACCGACACCAGAGACCCAGAGTACCCAAGCATAATAGAAGTCTTAAAGAAAAAATCTCCCATATACATTGTTGTTCAAGGAAAATACTGTGCGAAATTAGTGCAAAATTTTACTTCCTGTCCAAGCAGTCGACTGCGAATATTAGGGTGGTCGTTAAAAATTAAATTTTTTACGACGAATTCGTTTTGATGAATAAACACTAGGAATTTTTTTTTTATTAAAAACAAAATGTGCCTCAAGACGATCTAAGTTAGATTTTTGGTATAATCATGTTTTTTGGGAATTTTTTATGAAAAATAAAATTTTATTCGAAATATAAACAATTATGGAACCCAAATCAATAAAAAAACAATAGTTAATCGAAATAACAATAGACAAAAATTTAAATTCAAAATTTTTCCCAGTCTATTAAATAAAAAAATTAAAGATATTTAAATTGATATTTTTATTTTAAAACTAAATTAGTACAAACGTAATTTTAATATCTAGATTTCTTCACTCCAAGGTGAAGTTATTTCATTGTTAATAATTTTTAAATCTCAAAAAAATTATTATTCCATATTTTCAGAAAAAAGACATGATTTTACTTATTAATTAATTAATTAATATTTAATTTTTAATTAAAAAAAAATTCCTATTGTTTTTTCATCAAAACGAAGCATTTTAGGGGGCGCACACATTTTTTTTTCAGGTTGAGTTAGATGGGTAGTTAATACCTGTCTCCATCCTGTATTGATAAAAAATTATATAAAATACGTACGGTATATTTTGTCTTGTACATCAGTTTAAACATTTTCAGTTGAAGGTACTTTACACGCGATCGCTGCGGAAAATTGTTTATTGTTTAAAATGGAATAACTTGTGTGGGGTGATGAAGGGTGATCTTCAAGGTATGTAAAATTCAGATATGTATTTGTTTTTTGTAAATTTTGCTTGTACAACGGGTTATTGTAACGGACAAGATCAGTCTGTTAAAATCGCAAACTTTAAATCGAGCTTTTAGAACAATGGAGCTACAAAATTTGTAATGAATTGTAAGGCATTAGTTCAAGATCCGTTGAATAGCTTAGAAATTTGTCTATCAAGCCATCAATAAATAATCTGCCCCAACTCGCCCCTGGCTCTTTAAAACTACATGTTCTTGGGCGCTCAGGCACGGTTGTGAAAAAAAAGCCTATGTCGCGCGCGTATCTGTGTTTTTGCTTTACAAAATATAAGATTTTTTTTATTTCTGGGTTGCGTTCATGACGCTTACTCGATTCACTCGGATTTAATTCAAAACGTTTATTACAACAGCGGTGTCTAGACTTTCATTTGCTTAAATCGTTCGTGACTACTAAGTTATTTAACACCGATTTTACATATTTAACCCACCTCTTGTAGGTACGTTAAAACAACTCCGCATGCGTATTGTAGTGTGTTAATGTCAAATTTGAATTGTGGTTATTTGTGTTGACAATTTTGTTGACATTTTAAAAAGAACCTCTTACGGGTTTTTAATTAATTTCGACAATTTTTTAATAAAAATGTCCGCCATTTGCGGTCCACCATTTTAAATTTTGGAATTCTGATTCCATATTCATTATCAGCGACCACAAAAACCCCTTTATGGTGATTTTCAATTTATTCCGTCAATTTTTTGACAAATATGTCCGCTATTTTGGATCTACCATTTTGAATTTTGAAATTCTGATTCCAGATTCGTTATCAGCGACACCAAAAACCTTTAAATACAGATTGTTGGGAGAATCCGACTAATCCGACATAATTTCAGCAGTTACACGGACGCAGACGCTTGAACTATAAACTAAAGAAATTTTTTCGCACAGTGGGGCAAACATTTGCATACAGTAGTTTCCGATTGTTAGCAGCAATCCCCATTCATGAATCCCGATTGAATGGGGGTATTACTAAATCCCTGGTTTAGGGGGATTCCGGATTGTACTTAGTTTTGGGTCATTCTAATGTCCCTCAAAAACCAAAATGTTTGCGCTCCTTGTCCCGCACTCCACTAGCCTAAATCGGGCGTATGACCCGGCCCGGCGACAAAATTCCGGGAAGGGCCTTAACCATCCAAAGAAATTAATAATTGATTCAAAACTTTTCTTAAAAAATGTTCTCGATATTCTTTAAATTCTTTGTGCCTTATCTTCTGCACATATTCCTATAATTGGCCAATAGAAATGGAAAAGTATTTTATAAATCCATACCCGTGTATTGGGATTTTATGTACCGTTACAGGCATAGGATACCAGTTGCGTAATTATCGAATTTCTGCTCATAGATTTCGGGGCCCAAAGATATTACTTTTAATATATATTTTTTTCTTTGGCCGGCGGAGAAATTCTTTACGAACACTCGGTTCCTTTTGGGGCCTCCGTCTATTGACGTATACCCACTAAAACTCCCCCGTTAGGTGGTTCAAAGCTTTCGCAATCCTATTGTGCCCTAAATGGTATTAGCTCTAGCTCCGTTGCTTCTATGCGCAGTAGCCGAGGCAGTGGGGCAATTTTAAAAGTTCTGGTGTAAGTCTAGACTCTCCCAGGTGTGTTCTTCTTAAGGTGTTGAATCCCTCACATTGACACATAATGTGAAGAGGTGTTTCCTCTTCTTCTTCGCATCCTCTACACAAAGGGTCATCTGTAATTCCCATTATGTGAAGGTGTTTTTTGAATGGAGCATGACCTGTGAGAAGGCCTAATGCTTTCTTTAGTTGGGTCGTGGTCCTCATTGGTTTCTGCCCTTCATCAGCTGCGAAGTTTGGTTTCGACCTCATCGAACTGTTTCTGCCTTCTTCTTGCACTAGGATAAGAGTTATCTGGTTTTGTGCTTCTGTTAATGCCGTCATATCTCTCAGACATTCTAGTACGGCCTTCGAATTTATTTCAAATGACTCCAGTGCCTGGATTGGTTCTGGTTCGTGTGTAATGATAGTGAGCAACTTCTCCGTGGGATTGCTCTCCCTCATTCGTTGGAAACCCAGTTGTATGGTAATGATGCCCGCTTGAAGATCGGTTATCTCTATTTCCAGGTTTAGTATTTCTTGACTTCCCTGTTGAGATACCTCTTTTATGCCCGCAGAAACACCGGTCTTTGACCGTTTGTGTTCTACGTACCAGATTAGGTTTCCTTCTTGCTTGAGTCGGGCAATCTGGTTGTTTATCTCCTCAGCCTTTATCCTTTTTGAGATAAAAGCTTTATTGAAGTGTTTTACCTTGGCTTTGTCTGTTCTAATGGCTAGACTGCCAGTTTCTAGCTCTTCAAATATGGCATTATGTCTGATGTTGGAAATAACTTCGACCTTATTTGAGATTAGTCTCTGGGCTCCCGCTAGTATGTTTTCCATGGCTGCGGTCGGTGTAGTTGTTATTGCACCAGTTATTCCCAAGCACGCTGTAACGTTACAAATAGTAACGCTACATGGATTATTATTAATAAGCCAAGTTAAACACTGTATAAGTATCATTTGGTTTATTACGTACTCACTGGTCCACACTGTATATTGTATTTTAAGCGGTAATTATTATTTAGTTTATTTCTATGGAGTTTTGGGTAAACGACTTCATTGTGGTAGTCAAAGGAACCTAAAAAGGGTTAATTTATTTTTA